ACAGAGGTGGCAGAGGTCAGGCAGTTGTGAGCAGGGGCAGTATTGCCCAGAGTGGCGCTCGGCACCTGCTCTCACAGGGGGTGTGCTTTGACGGCTTTTCTGTTTTAATACCAGATTTCCTTCTTTGCAAATTCCCTTCTAATACTTTGTGTTATTTTCTTACACTTTTTTGGGTGAAATCTGATTGAATCCTTATCTTTTGATGGTTACACATTTCATTTGTTTCCCTTTGTTGTTTGACAATTATTTTTACAACGTGTCTATTTTCCCTTTATTTAGAGTCTGAATGCTGACACATGTACAGCTCTTATTTCAGTGTTGTTTGATGTTTTCTTCACTTTTATTCTCAAATTCTTAGAAATCAGCCACCCATTATGTTTTCAAAACTCTGTGTAAATTGTAGAGTGGGATGGGAAGATTATGAGAGATGCCTTGTTTTCTAAGAAAAAATTAGCTGTGTGTTTTGAGGTGCCAGGAGCAGAAAGCCTGGACTGCTGAATCTGCTCCTCCTCCCTCCCCAAGCTGTTTACCTGCTGCTTGTAGGAACGGGCTTGCCACGCTTGGGTGGTGTTGTGTCTCGGGTGTGACTGGGTATGGGGAGCAGGCGAGGGCTGGGCTGGTCTGCTTGTGGTCTGGCCTGGCTTCCCTGGCCTGCCTGCCCGCTTTCTTTCGTTTCTTCCTGTCTTTGCAGGGGAAGACTGTCCAGATTTCCCCCAGTTCGATCGTTTCAGAAATAAGCATCTTTGTGGTTATCACAAGGGTTTACTGGTAGCCAAACTTGGGGGAAAGTCCTTATGAGGACACACAAGGAGAATGTGTGTCTCGGGAGCCTCTGGGCAGAACTCGTCCCAGCTTCTCGGAGGTTGAGTCGTGCCGGGCGCTCGCCTCTCCTCTCCGATCCAAGCTGTTCCGCTCACTGGGAAAGAGCTGCGTGTGTTCCCCGTCGCAGGAGTTCTGGTCTTCGACTCTCCCGTTCCTTTTCATTTCCTGTTTCCTGTCATTCCCTTTCCTGCTTCCCTCCCTTCTCTTTCTTTTGTTCTTTTTTCTGTTCCTTCGTCCCCTCCTCTCTCCCCTCTTCCCTTTTGTCCTTTCTTTTTCTGTTCACTTTTGTTCTTTTCTCCCTAGATCTTCTCCGGGAAGTGATCGCAGAGGCTTCGAGTGCCATTTAGTTTGCTTCCTTCATGAGTTCTGGAGTATTTGACTCAGGCTGACTTGGACAGTGAAGGATTTGCTCTCTCTTGGCGTCGCAAAGTCCACTGTTAGGCTGGCCCTTGAGGTTGGTTGAGCCAGTATTTGCTGATGTCGTCGAGGACCCAGTTTGCTTTTGCTGTCCTCAGTGCTAGTTTCATCCTAAGGCGGGGTCCTTTCAGGGGGGTGGCGTAATTTCGGCAGCAAAGGGGGCTGATAATTTTCTGAATCATGTTCAGAGAGGAAGAGAGAATTTCTCCTCTCAAGCATCAGATGAAAGTCCTACACGCTGCTGCTGGATGAGCATGAACCAGTTCCTCTGGCCAAGGAAGAGTCGCATTCCCATCAGTTTAAATCTGGCAGCTGGCAGGTAGCAGACATCAGCATCGGAGTCCTCGACAGTTTGAGTGAGCTGCTGTTTGACTGGTCCAGGCAGAGCGGGGCCTGGCTGTTGCCTGCAGAAGACATGGAGAGAGCACTTCTGAGAGCCACGGAGTGAGCTGTCATGCCTTCGAATACAGAAAAGGATGAGGTGCTTGTTTATATTTGAGCAGAAGATGAAGAAAAAGGCTTATGTTGCAAGAATAAGACTGGAACAAAGAGTGTGTGCCTTACCCGTCTGCCCCATCTGCTTTGTTGGCACGCGCTTTCTTTCTGTGTGTCTCCAAGTGGACATTCTTTTTCTGAACCATCTGAGAATACATTGCAGGCCTCTTGGTCCTTTACTCCTGAATACTTCTGTGTACGCTTCCTGACAGTAGAGGTTTTCTCTTACATAGCCATAGTGCAGGTATCAACTTCAGGAAGTTTTAACATTGCTGCTGCCTAGTTTTTAAAATGAACCCAATACGGTGGCTCAGCCTGTCATCCCGCGCCTTTGGGAGGCTGAGGTGAGTGGATGGCCTGAGCCCGTGGGTTCGAGACCCGCCTGGGCAGCGAGACCTCATCTCTACAATAAATCAAAAAATCAGCCGGGCGTGGTAACGCACGCCTGTAATTCCGGCTACTCCGAAGGTGGAGGCGGAAGGATCGCCGGAGCCCAGCAGGTCGAGGCTGCGGGGGCCAGGAGCGGCCACTGCACTCCAGTCTGGGCGACGGAGTGAGACTCCAACTCAAAAAAAATAAATAAAATGAACCCGATAATGCCTTTTGAGTGAGTTCAGTATCTATAAGAGAATGCTGAACTTAGTCGTTCATGGCAGCATTGTCCATGATAGCCAAAATGTTGCAACAGTCTATCATCAACAGATGAATGGACCAAGAAATTGTCTCTCTCTCACACACAGGTCTCTCAGCTCTAAGTCAGAAGGAGTAACAGATGAGCATGGAGGGCATTGTGCTAAGGAAGAAAGGTTCTGCATGGTCTCGCTTCTATGTGTAATCTGAAAAAATAGAACACTTACAAGCAGACAGTAGATTGGTAGTTTCCAGGGGCAGAAGGGTGGGAGAAATGGGGAGAAATGGTCAAAGCATACGGAGTTTCAGTTACGCAGAATAATCACGTTCTGGAGGTTCTATGCACAAAGGTGTCTGCGGTTAATACCACGGCATTGTTTACTTGCTTTAGCTGAGTGAAGGTCTTAGGTGTTCTCACCGTGCCAGAAGATGGTAACTATGTGAAGAGATGGACGTGTTAATTGGCTTGACCATTGGAATCAGTTCACTACGTCTATGTACACTCTCATTTTAGTCTGTTTCATCTTTTGAAATGTCCTTATGGCATTGTTGTCAAGTGCAAGATCCGGTCTGAGATCAGATATTGCCTTGAGTTGTCATGTCTCTTTATAGTCTTTTACTATCCAGAGCACTTTTATAGTTTGTCTTTGTCTGTTATCACATTGACGTTTTTGAAGAATACGTTCTTTCCACTTTAATAAAATAGAACACTTCATTTATTTCTTAGACTTTTCCTGAGCTATTAAATGTTGTTATTAGCATGTCATCTATGTGAGGAGGTGATGGTTACGGGGGAAGGGGTGCCCGTGGTACCTGGATGTCCCTGGTTCTGGAAGCAGGGAGATGCAGTGGGTATTTCCATCCCACCCCTCTTTCGCCTTGGCTGTGTGTTGCCTTCCACCGCCAGGATTTAGGCTGGTTTCCTGATGCCTTCCACCATGTCTTTTGAAGTCTTGGATTAGCATTTGGGTTGGGTGGCTAGTCCTAGTGAGCTCCTGCAGACCCGAAGGAGAGCTCCAGAGGGGTCAGGAGAGTGCTCGCCTGGTGGGAAGATCAGAGAAAGAGCCTGCACTCTCAGCCTGGGGCCCTCAGAGAGGCCTGTGGATCCCAGGAAATGAGATAAAATTGATTTCCACACTGGATTCTTGGCAGTCGTGTTGACATCAAAGTTGAGCCGATAAGCCTGTAAGCTCTTAGGCCTGAGGAATTTGGGGAGGCAGTACTAGGTGTGGCAGCAGGGTTTTGGCTCAGCAGAGAATGAGCTGGTTTCCCCAAGAAGAACATAGTCCTCTCTGGGTCCAGGGAGGCTCCCCTGATGCGCTCTGTGACACCTGGCCTGCTGTGTGCCTTGAAGGAGGGCCATGAACACTGCTGTCCGGTCCCCAGATGTGCTGCCTTGCCAGGGGCCTCAGCCCCGGGGTGGTGTGCCCTGCCCCGCTCCCTGACGAGGGCACTTGGTGGCCGTGTGTGTTGGATTCCGGTCAGCCAAATTAGTTTCTGAAGTCAGAACTGAGTCTCGTGCCTCTGCCTAAAAGAGACTGCGCTGGTGCTGGTGGCTTCTTGCTGAGCTCGGTGCGGCAACAAGGCCGCGTGTTGGGGCATGGTGACAAAGTTAGCGTGCCAGGGGTTCAGAGTGTGGTTGTAAGTAGCTGGAAGCTGGACTCTGTGCGTTGTACAGAGTCATGGCAGCAAGCGCCCTCCTGCAGTGCAGGGGAGAACGTTGCCTTCGGGGCCTGCCCTGTCAGTCTTGCTGGCACGGAGGACTCAAAGCCAACCGTCTGTTCACGGGCTAGGAATGCTAAAGACTCCGTGTTTGTCCTTTTACATGATCCGATTTATCTGTTGGAAAAACTGAAGTACAGAAGAGTGCATTCATTTCCCAGAGTGGTGGACTTTGTTTTAATTTATCTAGGGTATGAATAATTTTAAAGATGCATATTTAAATAACTGGTCAGCTGTGACTGGGGATAGGTTGTCAATGGAAAAAAAAGACCTTCCGTGTTCACGGTCTTTTGGTAAAATGAGACAATTCTGACAGGGTTTGATTCTTTCTGTAGTGTAGGCGCACTGCCAAGTGCCTTCTATACATTGTACTGTCATTTTGCCGGTAATAATATAGAAGTCACAGAGAATGTTTGAAGTATATTTACATATATATATATGTCTTATATATGCATATATACTTAACAAGTCGTCATACTGTACATAATTTCTTTTAAAGATGTGTGATGGACTGTTCTATGTGAGTAAATATAGGTGTGTATTATAATCTTAATAGATTCAAAATATTTCATTATATAGTCATACCATAATTTATTTAGCTAATTTTTAACTCATAGATTTTAAAGTTATTTCTTGTTTTTAAGCAGTAATGCAGCCACAAAGATTCATGTACTTATGTCTTTGTGCAGTTATCTGATTCTTTCTTTTAGACAAGTTTCTTGGTATAGAATTGCTGGGTCAGGTGTAGAAGGCTCGACTTTCAATATGATCCTCTTAGATCGAGAAGAAGCTAAGACAGTTATAGGAAGAGTCTGAAAAGGCTCATAGGAATGATATTCCGATGTTCCTCTGGTTTCTGTGCTGCTTTTTGGTTTTAATCCTGCATGGTTGTGTAATGTGTTCTTTTTCCCTTTTGTAGTAAGCTGTGCTAGAACAAAATGCAATGAAAGAAACACTGGATGAATGAAAGGCCCTGCTTTGCAACCCCTCAGCATGGCAGGCCTGCAGCTCATGACCCCTGCTTCCTCACCAATGGGTCCTTTCTTTGGACTGCCATGGCAACAAGAAGCAATTCATGATAACATTTACACGCCAAGAAAATATCAGGTACTAATGCGAACACTAATACCGGAGCATTCTTCGCTAGTCGGAGTAAGTTAGCAGAGAGTTGACCCAACTTTCCAGCCTCCCTCTTCTGGCTGATCTCCGCATCCAAAGCCCTTTTATTCTCAGTAGTTCTTTTCTTGTCTAACATCTGCTGGGGAATTGGGTTTGATGGTGGTGTCCGTGAAGGTCTAGTTCTTCCCTCTGACAACCAGGCTGTTCGTGAATATTCCCTCGGGTGTGTCTGTCTTGAGGAGCTGGCAGGAGTCTGGTTAGCTTGAAGATACTCAGCCATGAGCTGGCAGAGCCACAAGTACTCCGAGTTCAGTCATTCCTGTCACTCCGGGAAAGTCTTCTCGGGGTACAGCGTGACTGTTAAAGAAGGGCCGGATGCCGTTTCGGCGTGTATGTCCACCGCACAGCCATGCACAGCAGGCAGCCTTCTGCTTGTTACTGCGTAACGACGTAGGGACTAGGGGGTTTGGGGGTAAATGTATTGGAGGGAGATTTCAGAGCACAGTGACATTTCTTGATTTAAAACAAGATCCAGTTTTCTCAATTTTGTCCTTGGATAAGAAGCCTGCCAACTTTTCCACCGTATTCCTAGGTCGAACTGCTTGAAGCAGCTCTGGATCATAACACCATCGTCTGCTTAAACACTGGCTCAGGGAAGACATTCATTGCAGTACTACTCACTAAAGAGCTGTCCTATCAGATCAGGGGAGACTTCAGCAGAAATGGAAAAAGGACGGTGTTCTTGGTCAACTCTGGTAATAAAACATTATTTTATCCAATTGTGTGGAGGAAATGGGCTGAGATTGCATGTTTAAGCAGATTTTCTCTGTGGGTATTGCATTGGGTTAAACTTTCGAAGGGAAAGTGCGTTAAGGCTGGGCATAGTGGCTCATGCCTGTAATCCCAGCACTTTGGGAGGCTGAGGTGGGAAGATTGCTTGAGCCCAGGAGTTTGAGACCAGCCTGGGTAACATAGCAAGACCTTGTCTCTACAAAAATATGAACAAGAAATTAGCTGGCTGTGGTGTGGCGTGTGCCTGTAATCCCAGCTACTCCAGAGGCTGAGGTGGGAGGATCGCTTGAATCCAGGAGTTTGAGGCTGTGGTGGGCCATGCACTCCAGCATGGGTGACAGAGTGTGACCCCAATTCAAAAAAGAAAAATAAAAGAGCATTTAAAAGCGAATGTTTTTGCAAAAGCTTGACTGGCAGAACTATTATTCTGTCTTACTTGTTAACGTCATGGCATCTCTCTTCAATGTCCTGATTCTCCCTGACCGTTGAATAAATAACTTTTGGAACATAATCTAATCCAAGTTGTTATAGTTCTTTTTGTTCCTGATATTTTAGCCTCACCAAGTATGCTAATTGTGGTTAGGTAACTTTTTTGATTTCTGATTTTTATTGCACTAGTTGTAGAAAGAAAGTTATATGCCTCTAAAAGTTACATATTCAGTAAGAGCTTAAAATACTGATTTTTATGTCTTTGGGGTTATGTATCAAAATCAAAAGCATGAAACATGAGCCTGAGCTGATAGCTCCCGATAGGTTCATGCCACTCCTCTCCCTCTCTGAAGACTGTCTCAGCGTTATCATGTGCTTTAGCTATGACTGACCGTCTTATTTCTTGCTGATTTTACTGAAGTAAGCAGGAGGGTGGATTTGGAATGGCTGCCATTTGAGCCTAGAAGGTGTAGTCTTAGGTTAGAGAAAATCAGCCGTGGAGAAGAAAGGTGGCGTGAGGTTCTCTGAAGTGAGTGGCAGAAAGTGAGGTGACGAGTCTAGTAAGTACATTTTAGATGGTAACCTTGGCACTGTGATTTTAAATTGGCTATTAAAAAATGGTGGTTAGGTCTAGTATCTAGTGGTAAGGATTTCCGCACCTGTCAGTCATGAGTAGTCTAGGGAGCCAGCTAGGTACACTTTCTCATATTTACATGGAGTGTTATGTTTGTGATCAGCAAACCAGGTTGCTCAACAAGTGTCAGCTGTCAGAACTCACTCAGATCTCAAGGTTGGGGAATACTCAGACCTGGAAGTAAATGCGTCTTGGACAAAAGAGAGATGGACCCAAGAGTTCACTAAGCACCAGGTAAGACTTGTGGAGAAATGTCCCTGGTAAGTACCTACAAGTCCCTGACTGGGTTTGTCAGATGACCTGTAGCCTTGGTTGTCTGAGTTAGGTTTGAAGACTCTACTTTTCCGTACTTTTTCAGCTTAGAAACTAGTCCTGTGCATGCTCTCCGACTACAAGTCTCAGCTTAGAACCAAATAAATGACCAATTTTTGTTGCTCTTACTTTATAGAAAAGAAACCACTTTCAGTGGATTTACTTGCTTAAAAACACAGATTTCTATGACCTGTTTCCAATTTGCAGATAGTCTGCTTTCAGAAAGTTTTTTCTTGAGTTAAGTATCTTGAGACTGGGGGCATTTCTTGGTTGAGCTCTTAGGGCTTTGGCAGGGACTTCTCTGACGTGTCTCTGTGTAGCCAGCACATGGGGTTTTTCTGTGTGTTGGTGTTGGGGCGTACACAGCAGTGGGGAGGTGCTCTCCAGGCCACCTGAAACGACCCACAGTCTACACTGGTACTCGCTCTTGGGTCAGGCCCTCGGTTACAAAGCGCTGAAGTAGCCACACAATGGGGGGCGACGACAGGAACATTTGGCTTCTGTCTTCTTCCAGAGAACCTTGTCCGTTCAACAGAAGAAAAACATTTCTCAAAACAGTTGGAGCTGTTTTGTGATTTCCCTGGATTGACAGCTCTCACCCATCAGAATGTGGCTGGAGCAGGAACCCAGAAATCTGAGGGAGACTTCGGCTCCGTTACGAGAGTTCTTCCTCCCGGTCTTTCCCCTGGTTTTCCTCTTGGTTCCAATGGATGAAATTAGAATTTAGAACTTTTGTTTTAGTTTTGGTTAGTGAATTTCTTGATCCTCATCTGTGATATAATGGTTCTGTGGTCTGAGTTTATGTAAGCGTGTCCAGGCAGGTGAATGTTATGTCCGTACACTGATGTCAGCTTTATTTTAGGTTCTCATCATGACTTGCTATGTCGCCTTGAATGTTTTGAAAAATGGTTACTTATCACTGTCAGACATTAACCTTTTGGTGTTTGATGAGTGTCATCTGGCAATCCTAGACCACCCCTATCGAGAAATTATGAAGGTGAGTTTTTGGACTTTGTCAGTCTTAATAAATCTTGGTCAAATTACTGACTATATGCAGATTTTTATAGATTTCCAAAGCAGTCATATGGTTACCAACATTGGGAACTTGGTTTCAGTGTATGAATGAATGAATATTAACGTTCACTTAAATCTACAATAAACTTTTTTTTTTTTGAGTTGGAGTCTCACTCCATTGGAGTGCAGTGGTGTGCTCACGGTCACCCCAGTGTCGACTTGCTAGGCTCCGGCGATCCTTCCACCTTAGCCTTCCAAGTAACTGGAACTACAGGCGTGCACTACCACTCCCAGCTGATTTTTTATTTATTGTAGAGACAAGGTCTCGCCAAGTTGCCTGGGCTGGTCTCGAACTCATAGTCTTAGGCCATCCACTCGCCCCGGCCTCCCAAAGTACAGGGTTTACAGGCTGAGCCACCGAGCCCAGCCTACAATAAACTTTTAAATATTGTAATAAAATAAACCGCATGCAGCAATCTTTCATAGCATCTCTAATTGTGTCTTTCTGAAAAACAACTTTTTTAGGCAAACTGCAATAATATCATGGACGACACTGTGTTGTCCTTGGTCTGTGGATATTTTCACTGAACAAATTGTTTTTTGATAAAATTGTTTGTTCGTGATTTAACGGTGTTGTCTCTCTTACTATGGCCTTGCAAAATGGGTCTTTACTGTTGGTGTCTCCTTTTAGCTCTGTGAAAACTGTCCATCGTGCCCTCGCATTTTGGGACTAACTGCTTCCATTTTAAATGGAAAATGTGATCCAGAGGAGTTGGAAGAAAAGATTCAGAAGCTGGAGAGAATGTTCCAGAGTAACGCTGAAACTGCTACTGACCTGGTGGTCTTGGATAGGTACATACTGTTGGCTGTCTTAGCTTCAAGGAGGGGGGTCGGAGTCAAGTTAACCTGCGTGTCATCTGTAGTGCCTCGCAGATGGTCCCTGTTTAGGTGAACACACAGCTGTTAAAAGAACTGAACAGGCGGAAGAGCTCTGTAGAAGGTTAAGACTAAGCGTGTGTGCCCCGAGAAGAGCAGAAGAGGCTCTTCTGCTTACGAGATCATGCTGTGCAAGCGTCAGCCCTTCCGCCTGCTGGGGCTGTCAGTGGCTGGGACGGCACATGGGTGTTCTTCCTGTCAGTGTGCTTGCTTTGTCATTCAGACCTAAGTGTCTCACGTGGTACTTTGAAAGAACATTAATTCATTTAGACAGTTCAGCAATATTCTCGGAAATATTTAGAGGTATCCCATTTTGAAAACGGGTTGTGGATTTCTGAGAAAGAGGCTGTTCATAATTTTACGTGGGACTCTTCGAGGGGGTTACTATTTTGAAATCAATTGAAATACACACATGCACACACACAGTCTTATTGGCTTAAGCTGGTGGAAAGAGGCCTGTGTAAATACAAAGAGTAGGAAAACAGGTTTCTAACTAAAGGCAGCTAACTCAGTTCATGTCAAAATTGTCTGTACTAGTCTTAAGGTTAATGGCTGCCAAATGGTGGTTCTTAGGACACATCTTTTCTTTTCCTTATTTTTTTTTTTTTGAGTTGGAGCTTCATTCTGTTGCCCAGGCTGACGTGTGGTGGCATGGTCATAGCTACCACAGCCTCTGTCTGCTGGGCTCGGGTGATCCTTCCGTTTCAGCCTCTCGAGTAGCTGGGACTGCAGGTGCACGCTACCACGCCCGGCTAATTTTTTTATTTTTTCCAGAGATGCGGTCTTGCCACATTGCCCAGGCTGGCCTTGAACTTCTGGGCTTAGGCAGTCCTCTCGCCTGGGCCCCCCAAATTGCTAGGATTGTAGGCACTAGCGACCGCACCCATCCTGGACAATTCTAATAAATGGAGAAGATTGATTTCTCAGGTGATGTAGTTGAGTCACATGTGAGTTTGAATACTAGCTCCACTCATTGTAAGCTGTGTGACCTTAGCTGTGTCACCTCCTGGAACCTATAAAATGGCGTTGACAGTGGTTTCATGGGATTCTTTGATGATCAGTTACACTGCCGCATGGAAAATACCTTGCAGTGTGCCTGGCATTTACCAAGAATTTGGGGGAAAATGTGTTTTATTTGTAGAGTGAGAAGAAAAGGTACCGTTTTAGATTCATCAAACTTGGGCATCCAAGTGCCATATGAAATATAGGTCTTGTGCTGTTTAGGACATGTTGCTTCTGACTTCCTTGAGCCAGTGCTCTGACATGGAGAGGCTGTGCTTTTGCTTCCATCTTACTTGAGTTACATGGGCTGGCTTGTGTTACTTGGGAGTTTTGGGAGAGGTCGCAGTGTTGGAGCGTCTAGGTAAACCTGATAAGTAGTCTGTTGGATAAGCATTACCTAATTCTCTGAATGTGACTCTTTGGTTAAGTGTACATTCTGATTTGGGCTAAAAAAAAATAAAAACGGTAGTATTTAAGTATGGCTTTCCTCTATTTCTTTTCCTTAATTAAAATCATCATATGTACTTGTAGGATTTTCGGTGCCATTCGGGTTGTCGGGTTTTGTGAAAGGCATGGAAGATCCAAGGAATGAGGGCAGAAGTGAATGAAAGCAGGGGGAGTTTTCCTTGCGAGGACATCAGAAATAAAAGTGATATTTGCAAATGCCAGGAATTTCTGATAGCGTGGACATTTAATGATAAAACTCCTCCCCCAAATCTTTCCTCCTTATTTCTGCTTCTGAGAAGTAATCGTGGAGTTTCACAAGCATTTTGAACATCCATGCTTCTCATTCTGGCTGGTGCCTAAGGAGACAAAGCTGGAAGTCTAAGCCTAAGGAACAAAACACAAACACCTGGGATAACGGTGAAATCTGTTGTCAAAATTCTTTGAATGTCAGCCCCACATGGCCATTCCTGAGATCTGACAGGCACACATGATACAGATTGAGAATCCCTAACTGGAAGATGCACAGTTAAAAATGCACCAGTATCCAAGACCTGAGTATTGACACGGTGCCACGAGACTTCCTGTGACGTGTTGGCATTAGAACCCAGTCAGACTTGCTTCGTGTGCAGAGTGGTTAATGTAGCGTACACTTACCTTCAGGCTACCTGTACACAGTGTATACAAAGCAGAAATGAACTGCATGTTTAGACCTGGGTCCGTTCCCCGCACACCTCGTTATGTGTGCGTGAATGCTCCAGTGTGCAAAAAACCATCGAAATCAAGGTCGCTCTGGTCCCAAGCATGTTGGGCTTGGCTCTCCCCTCGCGCTGTCAAAGTTCCTCTTCAGGAAGGCTTGTTGAACCTTTCGTCCCCGCTAGGGGTGCAGAGTGAAGCTAGAAGCTTCTTTTGGATTTAGATATGTAAGTGGATCATAATGCAGTAGTGAGTGTTTGAAACATGAAGCACAAGGTGTTCGTGAGGCCTCAGAGGAAGGCATCCCGGGTTTTGTTCACTCAGAGTTGCTGGGTGTCTTGGAGCGCGTGTCCTTCGTGGCCCTCCTCGTGGGAGGCCTGAGTTAGAAGGCAGGGGAGCTCACAGCCTCACGCTGCAGAATGGAGGGAATGCTCAGTCCTAGCCTCTGCCCTTTCCTTTGGAAAACATGTTTTCCGGAAGAGTCTACTGGTTGGTAAAAAGTATCTTATTTGCTGTGGGGATATTCAGTACTGTAAAATAGAAATGATTAAACACCTGAAATCTCAGTCCACTGGTAATATTTTATATCTATTAGTAGAGGCAAATCTTAGTATCTCTTCTTCTTTTCCTTGCTGTTTGAAAAATAATTTTTTGAATTAAAAGTTTCATTTCCACTGCCACACTATGGACACCTTTTGTTTCTGCTCTAAAGGTATACTTCTCAGCCATGTGAGATCGTGGTGGACTGTGGGCCGTTTGCTGACCGAAGTGGTCTTTATGAGAGGCTGCTGATGGAGCTGGAAGACGCTCTCAGCTTCATCAACGACTGTAACGTTTCTGTACATTCAAGAGAAAGAGACTCGACTTTAATTTCCAAACAGGTAGGCGCAAAGTTAGTGAGTGTATTTACAGAACTTCTGTTTTCAATATTGAATTGCAAACATGCTTCGAAGGAGGCTGTTTTCTCTACTTTTTAGTTTAAGGTCTTTTTACCTCCTTGGACGTTTTCATCGAGCATGCCACGTGAGGTAGAGCTTACTGTTACCTGGCAGACGTTTATGTTATTAGGTATAGCCCTCCCTGACTTAAGGAGATGGGTTAGGATTCATGTCATGGTTATTTAAGTGTCAGGAGTGCGTCCAGTTTTTTGCGTTTCATTTTTGATCAGGTGAGTGAGTTCCTTCTTGAAGCCTTGGACTAAACTAATGCTCCCACTGTCTTGTAGCGCATGTGACTGGGTACAAGCCTGTTGTCCCTGGGTGGCACAGCTTGGAGAAGAGACCCCTCAGGACAGTGGTCCCCGAAGGGCGGGCCTCACACCAGCAGCAGTGGCATCTGGGTGGGGCCTCAGAAGTGGGTTCTGAGGTTTGCAAAATCCTAAGTTGGGTTTTTTTGGGGTTTTTTTCAGTCAGGGTCTCACTCTGTCGCCCAGGCTGGAGTGCAGTGGCATGCTCATGGCTCACGGCATGCTCATGGCTCACGGCAGCCTCCGCTTCCTGGGCTCAGGCAATCCTTCTGCCTCAGCCTCCCAAGTAGCTGGAACTACAGGCGTACACTGCCATGCCCAGCTAATCTTGTAATTAGTTTTTTAAATAATGGTTGCTATGTTTCCCAGGCTGACCTCGATCTCCTGTACTCAAGCAATCTAATCCTGCCTCAGCTCGCAAAGTACTGGGATTATGGGTGCGAACCACTGCACCCAGCCCTAAATTGAGTTTTGACAAGCCCTCCAGTGATCCCATGCAGTAAACTCGAGAATCCCTGCCCTCAGGCTTTGCAGCCGTTTGTGGATGTTCATGCTCTGTTACGTGTGGAACTGAATTTCTCCCCTGTTAATTTTTTTCTGGAGCAGCAGTGCCCAAACTTCTCAGCCTTTCCATTTGTTTATTTTTATTTATTTTCCTTTTGTTTCAGCATTCAGGGAAAAACTTTCTCTGAACTCTTGATAAGTCCACGTTCAACCCAGTCTGTTCTCTGGTTGCCTGTTGAATTGCCAAGTCCTCCGTTGTAAACTGTATGCTCAGCTCTGAGCTAGAGTTATAAGACATGGCACTGTGGGGGCGTCCAGGATCAGAGTCTGGATTTAGCTGCGATTTTAAAGTTGAGGAGCCCTGACCTTGCGGTGGCATTTTCACTGAAATGATAGCAGAGGCTTTTGGAGGGCGCCAACCCAGCTTGTGGACACCGCCCCAGGAGTGACAGCTGCCTTGTCCCTTCTTCCTCCACTTCCTGTTGCAACCTGTAAAGTCAGTTCCTACCATTAAAAAGAAGAAAAAGAGGGAGAGAGGGAGGAAGGAGAACGGAGGGCTGCTGTGTACTGGTTTTAGAACTGTCCAACCACTGCATCCAGGGTGCTGGCTGGAGACTGGCCAGAATTCACCCACCCTTCCTAGTCCTTCTCTTTCAATGCTCAGTGCAATGGAAAAGGCATAAAACCAGGGGATATTGTACCTAGACAAAGGCCAAGGAAAATTGTGTTGCTCTTCCTAGGTACCTAAGGTAACACATTGCCCTGCTGCATGATTTTTTGTGTCATTTGGCAGGAAATAAATTACTGAGGTTTAGTTCTAACTAATTTCACGTCTAAAATTAAATCTTATTAACTGCATACAATTGCATCTTTTAGTTTCTATTTGATTATTTTTGCTGGAAGAAGGAGATGATTGTAGGCATACACACACACACACACACACACACACACACACACACACATGAAATAACGGCACTTGAAAAGACTACGGTCCCCCTGCCTTTGGGGATTCACCTCAGTGTTTGTTCTTTGATGGAGTAAATGTGTTTTGAAGACAACTTAAATTCCAGTTAAGCTCTGTATAAAGACACTGCATGATTATTGATTAGCATTCGCATGTTCCCTCTTTTTTTTCAGATACTCTCAGACTGTCGTGCAGTATTGGTAGTTTTGGGACCCTGGTGTGCAGATAAAGTAGCTGGAATGATGGTAAGAGAACTGCAGAAATATATCAAGCATGAGCAAGAGGAGCTGCACAGGAAGTTTTTACTGTTTGCAGACACTTTCTTAAGGAAGATACATGCACTATGTGAAGAGCACTTCTCACCTGCCTCACTTGACCTGAAATTTGTAACTCCTAAAGTAATAAAACTGCTTGAAATCCTCCGTAAATATAAACCTTACGAGCGACAGCAGTTTGAAAGCGTTGAGTGGTATAATAATAGGAATCAGGATAATTATGTGTCTTGGAGTGACTCTGAGGATGATGATGAGGATGAAGAAATTGAAGAAAAAGAGAAGCCAGAGACACATTTTCCTTCTCCATTTACCAATATTCTATGTGGAATTATTTTCGTGGAAAGAAGATACACAGCGGTTGTCTTAAACAGGTAAATCTCTAAGATGGACATCTTTCTTCAAATTAGAACAAGGCAGCTTTTTATTTTGTGAAGTGACACACTGTCACAGCTTTAAGAGCTAGCATCAGGGTTATAGAGTGTCCTGGACTTGGTACCATAGCTGTTGATAGGTGACGGTGTACTGGCATTCTCAGAGCGGATGTTTATAAATATAGTCGCTTTCCCAAAAGGCTAGTTTAGACATGACTGAGTTTTTTTTTTTTAAAGGATGTTAATCCATTTAAAATAGAGGGCAAGTACAGTATAGAAAAAATAATTTACATTTAAGTAAACATTCCTTGTTTTATATTCGATTGTTAGATTTAATTTAGATATGTATTAACCAGAACTATGTGCTAGGCATTGTGTTAAACATTTCACATCAAGCTTTCTCCTTCAGGTAGTCTTAGAATAATTTTTTTTTTTTTTTTAAGAGATGAGGTCTCACTGTTGTCTAGGCTTATCTCAAACTCCTGGACTCCAGCAATCCTCCCTCCTCAGCCTCCCAAAGTGCTGGGAGTACAGACATGAGCCACTGCACCTAGTTCATAGGATACATTTTATCTGGTTATTGTTGCTAACTTTTTATGCTAATTTTTTTCCTTAAAAATACTGATTTAAGTTTTCAAGGCTGCGGTGGAAAAAGTTTAAAATAACTGGATTTACTATTTGGATTAGTTCTTAGACTAAGATGTACTCTGATTTTCTGAATCAGAAGAGAATAAAAATGTTTGGGAAGGTTCTGAGAATATTAGCAAAGGTGACAGTGAATCCAAATTTTGGATTGTGGATTCTAGCCCTTTCTCCCTTCTTCAATAAAAGTGTATTTTTCCTGAATATAGCCAAGGAGCCAAGGAGCTCTACTTCAGATTGTGTCAGATGGTCCCTTAATATATGGTCCTTTTGGTTTGTGGATAGATGCTCTGTTATTTCCTGCCAAAAAATTCATCCTTATTTTGTACTTAAGACAATCTGCTTTTCTGTGAGATCCATTAATTGGCCAAAGTTGATCTCCAAGAGCCTTTTCTGCCAGTAGTGATCTCCTAGGAAAAATTAAGTTTTGTTCCTGAAGTAATTTGGGATTTTTTTTCTTAACTGCTTCTGAATGTTTGGGGCTTTAAACTTTTTTGAGTAACGAGAAATTGGACTCGAGAGTAATCACCTGGCAGTTTTTAGCCTGGCATTTTCATGGTCATTGAGCCTGATCCTTCTGATGAATGGGAAATAAAGTCACTTTAGGTACTGAGTTACATTTAAACCAGAAGTTTAAGGCCGGGAAGGGACCTCACTGACTATCTAATCCAACCCACTTACTTTTATAAAAAAGCGAAAGTGTCTCAGGAGGAAAAGTGATTCAAGTTAAACTGCTAGTCAACAGCAGACCCAGCTCCCGCGTCCCAACGTCCTGGCGCCCGGTTTCCAGTTCTTTCCACAGCCGTGACGGCCCGGAGCATCACAGAACATGGAGCACCAGTGCCTTCCGGCGGGAAGCCTGCTAAGAGAGACGCCTGGGAGGGCGTGGCTGAGGAGAGGCGGCTCGGCTTGGGGTGGGGAAAAGGCACGTGGGGAGTCCAGAAAGTTTAATGCTGGCGCAGTTCTAGGCCTGCTTGTGGACCTGCTCCCTGCCTCCACGGGGGAGGCATGAGGGTTTCAGACATGCTCTGGGGCTTGGAGAGAAGAAGCGGGAGTTTACTTTCTGCCTTTCCCCTGTCTCCTTGCCCGTGTTTTTACTGTGAGGTGTGCCACTTTTCATGGCATGAGTGTCAGCTCGAAAAGGCTTATCCAAAATTCAGCCGGTTACCTCCTGTTGGCTTTAAGGACCAGCGTAATTACGGTCAGCTTTCATGCAGTGTGGCTGAAATTGGGTGAATTTCAGCATGACGAATCAAGAGTTGTCTGAGGCAGCTGATTCAACGCGCGCTGAAGGGCTTGTTCCCGTCAGCTTTTGGATCCGCTTAGAAAAGCTTCCTGAAACCCAGATTCTCTCCTCCCAGCAGTTTAATGGGAGGAAAGACCCTTCTTTAGCGGACAGTTTCTTGGGAGGATCAGCTGTTGTGGTGCACATGCAGTTTTCTATTCTCTTAGTTAAAAAAATACGTCACAGCCCCGCCGCAGTGGCATAGACGCGTGCGCGGGCTCACAGTGGCTGTTCTGCTGCCTCCTGTTTGCATCGGGGCTTGCAAGTTACTTGTACAGATGTTTCAACACTCTGTACAGCCTGCCGGGAGGGAGGGGGCCGATGTTCTTACCCGATTACAGTTGAGGGAACCAGGAATCAGCTTGTGACCCCCCAAGTTACACAGATATCAAGTGGCAGAAAATGGCTTCCAGCCTCAAGTCTGTGTTCTGGTCACTGTGTAATTCACTCGTGCTAGACAGACCTAGTTCACATCCTGTCTCTGTCCCCCTCCCCACACGCTTGTTTTTTCCCAGTAACTTTTTATTTGGGCTAATTTTAGGTTCACGGAACGTGGGGAAGCTAGTGCAGAGTCCTGTTCCCCTGTCACCCTTTCCCTGCTGCCGAATCTTGGGTCCCTGTCACAACTGGAAAAACTGACCTTGGTGTATTGCTGTTAACTGAACTCCAGACTTCATTCAGGTTTTGCCGGTTTTTCCACTAGTGTTCTCTTTTCTAACACATTTGTCTGTATTTGATTTTTTCCTAATCACTAGACAGTGTGGGATAGAGCCCTCTTTTCAAGGTATCATATTGCATTTGGTTGTCATGTCTCTTCATCTCCCCTGGTCCGTTCACCATTTCTCAGTCTTTTCTTGTTGTGATGACTTTGCCAAGCTGTAGGAGTGGCGGTCAGGATTTTGTGGGGTGCCCCCCGCTTGTGTTGGTTGTTTTCCTTGGGGTTAGGCTAGGCTTATGGGATTTGGAAAAATACCATGGAGGTAACGTGCCCTTTTATCACATCAGGAGGCTGTGGATGGCGGAGTTTGGCTGCAGAGTGGCCAGTGTGCAGCCACACTCCAGCCTTGGCTGTGATAATGCTTGCCAACTCTTCCACTGTGAAGTCCCCATGTTTCTCTTGCTGTGTTCTTTGGAAGCAAACCCCCAAGTACAGCCCGTTCTGCTAGGGAGGAACTCACCTCCACTTCCTAGGGAGGGCCATGTCCATGTCGGTGTGAACTCATGTTTATTTCATACTCTGGGTTCTGATCTGATCCTGTGTTCCTTATTTTGTTGCTCAGATCGTTCCTGTATTGGCCACGGGGTGCTACTTGAGACGTGCCCCCACGGTCCCCCGACGTCCCGCATCCCTTGGCTTGCACTTTCTTCCTTTGTGATGCTGCAAAGGAAGTCTGCCAGGCGCTTGTCTTTCTCCCTGCTCTGCCCCCAGGAAGCCCTGGGTTTTTTCCTGCTCACTTTTTGGATTTATTCCTTGTGAAAGGTAGTTAACTTTTTAAAGCCGCAGCACGTTCATCTGTAAAGTACGATACCTCCCTCTCCTGTCGGTTTGTTATTAGAGGCAATGTGTGTAAACCTGTTTTATCATCTGGCAGCCAGTAGATGCTGGCTCTTGGGCAATCATTGTACACATGCGGGTGTGCAGTATTGGTCTGCTGTAACTATCAGTGGTGGATTTTTCAGTAAGACCACAGAGGAATTAAATTGGGTTTTCTCACGTTGACAAGAAACTGTAAGGGGTGAGGGTCACGACTAAACGTGACATTGATGCTCTACTTCAAAGACTGGGCAGAAATTTCAGATGGCGTGTTTGTGTCTTTGAGGTGCCTTTCCTCCTGTGGTCATCTGCGTCAGCTGGCGTGCTTCGTCACGCCACAGTTCTCTGTCATGCGTCTGCTCAGGTTGCTGAACCTGCCGTCCGTACTTCGCGCTTTGGCCGGCAGTCCTTGGTCTTCACCGGGGCGCAGTGTGCATGTGCACATAAACGCAGGCTCTGTGGCCGGGCGCCAGGCCTCTCCTCTGCCGTGAGTTCAGGCAGGGATCGAGAGTGAGCATTGCTTCTGGCAGTTTGCCAGTAATTTCATGTCTGGTGAAGATGATACAATTGGTGCTTGAATTTCAGTGCTTTTTAAGCTTCATTTTCTTAGTAGTTCGTTTTTATGAAATTTAAAAAAAAATATCGGTCTCTGATGGTTTGGAAATAAAAAAAAATACCTGGTTGTTGGCTACAGACAGCTTCAGAAGGGGTGTGCACTAGGAAACAGTATGGCTTATTAAACAGCTTGTTTGTGGAATTACTTGTATAAACTCAGTGCAAAAATCAGAAGAAACAATAAGACTTTGTCTCGTCTATTCTGTGGTGTTAGGAAATCTGTAAGCAGTTTGTGTTAGTCACTTGTAAACTTCCTCAGGACAAGTGGACACTTGTTTTGTTTTCCCTGAAGCCTCTAGCTTTGTCGCGGGCATGTGGCTGGGAATTCCTCAAATTCATAAAGTAGAGAAATACGTTTTCTCTACACATGATCAGCGTGGGTATACAGCACTTAAATATCACTTGTAAGGTGTTTTATTTATTAATGTGCATGTTGTCTCTTCTGTTCTCTATGGTTTTGACGTGGGTTTTATGAAGGATAAATGAGTTGACTATTAGTGGTTCCACTTCTCAGCTCACTGAAGTCTGCCAGATTGAGAATTTTGGCAACGTAAAACATATTCTTTGCCTAATTGGAGTCGCTGGAAATGTATTTTTAAAAATCTCCTGTTACTTTCAAATTGGTGTTTATGTAAACGAAAATTTGGAAGTCCATATTCCTAAGGTAACTTATCGTACATCCTACACTTTGAGCCCGCTTCTAGTTTGCATGTGACACTGCCTTCTGTTCCCGGCGTTACTAGTTTATTGTGATTTAAAGCCTCGGAGCACATCAAGGAAGCTGCTGCTCCCCGACAGGACAAGTGCTGGGTCTGCGGGAGAGCTTCCCCTCCCCGGACACTCGGCTGCTCCGTGACCAGCCGCTGGAGACACTCAGGACGGCTCTGCAGCTCTTTGATATCAGTCTGTTTCATGTGTTTTTAAAGAGAAAGAATGATTGGACTTAAATATGCAATTTTCTATTAGGAATTTATACTATGTAGCATGACTTCAGAGGGGCCATGTGGAATCACTTATGTCAGGTGTGGAACCATTTATCCTGTGTGCTGAGTTCTTGAATGTGGATATTTCTAAAATAGCTGTAATGGCAGTGCTAACTGTTAACCTTCTGTGCCCGTGTAACGCGATCCATCCTGTAGCTCTTTGCTGTCGCTTAGCTAGAAGGCTAGCCTTAGGTTACCAGTACTCTGGGCTAATATGGAGGAACAGGCCGGAGGAGGGACAGGGCTCAGAAGTCTCTTCTTTGTGTGGCTGCGTGGGGGTGGGGGCTGCCTTGGCAGAACTGTGCCAATCCCCTGCTGTGCAGAGCTTTGGGCAGCAGCCTAGGGACCAGAAAGCATCGGGGCTTGAGATGGCGAGGCTCTTCTCTCCCAAGAGCCGGCCCAGTGAGATGAAATGCAGTCCTCTTCCACACAGCTGGGACCTTTGCGCTACTTGTAGGGGCAAGAGGCTTGCTTTGGCATCCAGCTTGCTGGTTCTTGTCTCCTGTGAGTGCAGCCACAGGGGAGGGTGCGGGCCGCTGCCGAGGCCGCATGCTCTGCAGGAGGGAGGCGAGCCTCTTCACTGGACATCCCATCCCAGAGGAAGGTCTGTGCATCGCTGACTAGCTTGGTCTCATCCCGGGCCATGTTTCTGCTAACCTGCCACTGCCAGATCAGCAGTTGGCGGAAGTGTGGCCGGTTCACTTGTCAGTGTCAGCTAGCCTTGTATGTGGTGTTATAAGCATTTGGTCCACAGGCCCTTGTGGTCAAGAGCGACAGTGATTTTTGTTTAAGCAAGTTGGAAAAAAAAAATCAAGACTGTTTTGCTAGGCATGTTGGCAAATGTACTGTATTTCCATTTTAAAGAAGACCTTAAAAACAAAAGTTTTACTTCCCCTCAGCAGTCCTTAACTTTCCAATGCATCTAATTTTCTTAGATTGATAAAGGAAGCTGGCAAACAAGACCCAGAGCTGGCTTATATCAGCAGCAACTTTATAACTGGACACGGCATTGGGAAGAATCAGCCGCGGAACAAACAGATGGAAGCCGAGTTCAGAAAACAGGAAGAGGTAACTTAAAGTGATCGTCCAATAGCAACGTTCGGGGCGTGTGCAGCCTGACCGCCTGCGGGGTCCTGTGTTTGTAGTCCCGGCAGGTTTTCGTAATACAGGATACTTGTGCATATGTCGACTAGCTGTCTCCATGAGGTAGCTGTAGTGATGTGTGTGCCGAATTAGAAGAGCTGTCTGGCACGTCTGTTTTCTGTCCTTTTTTTGAGTCAGAATCTCATTCTGTCCCCAGGCTGGAGTGCAGTGGCATGCTCATGGCCACCGCAGCCTCCACCTGCTGAGCTCAGGTGATCCTTCTGCCTCAGCATTCTAAGTAGCTGGAACTGTAGGCAAGCGCTGCCATGCCCAACTAATTTTTCTTGATTTATTGTAGGTACGAGATCTTGCCGAGTTGCCCAGGTTGGCTTCGAACCCCTGGGCTCCGGTGATTCTCTCGCCTCCGCCTCCCAAAGTGCTGGGATTACAGGCTTGAGCCACCGAGCCCGGCCAATTTTGTGTCTTAATTGCCATCAGTCAGTTCACTCTCTGCTCTAATGGCCTGGTGTCACACAAGTACATTTGGCAGAAAAACAAAACACGGACAGCCATAACTCCTGTTGCCTGCATATGACTGTGAATTAACCAGCTGGAATTTTTTCTCAGAAAGTGCTTTCTTTTGTTCATTGTAAATCCCACCTTAGGCTGGATGCAGCGGCTCACACCTGTGATTTCAGCTGCTCCAGGGGCTGAGGTAGGAGGATGGCTTGAGCCCAGGGGCTGCATTGAGCCGTGATTGTGCAGTGCGCTCCGGCCTGCCTGGGCGACCAGGAAAGACCAAATACACAAATAAGTGAAATTGTATCTTAGCCGACACTTTAAAAAATAACACTGTATTTTGTAGAATATGGCTTAAGTTTGTTCACGCTTTTCAAGGTCTTAATGTAGGAAACAGCTTTGTAAAGATGCTAAAACATGGTGTTTTGACTTGTGAACAAAAGCCTTTTACTTAAAGTTTATTATTTAACTTGGCATAATTTCTCTTGAAGCCGTTTTCAGTGTCCTAGCTTTTGGCTAATATTCCAGGTTTGGGGATTCTAGGAGTCAGTCTGATAGATAGGCTTATGTTATCATGGAATTTATCCTGGATTGGGGAGTTATGCCTTTTTAAATCTCATGTGAAGAAAAGTTTTCACTTTGTGTTTTAGTCAATTCTGACTCCTTAAATGGAACATTTCCCAGAATGATGGAAATAAGTAATACCCTACATGCAGTTTAAATCCAGGTGAACTCGGGGTTTTCGCGGTAGGTTTGACCTCTTTGGAGTGTGGGCAGTCCCACAGGTACAAGGTATCATTATGTAGGTGCAGAATAGCAACAGAACTCTAGAAGCGGGTCATTTGGTCACTTCATTGGTTAAACCCACTTGTGGTCATTAAAGAAACCATTCCCTCTAACCCAGAGGCGTTCTGTGATTTGGGACATGGGTGTTTCAGTAAAGTGGAGAGGCACTTTGATTTTCATGCCACATTCAGTTGACAACTGTCATTAAGTCAAAGCTTCTTGGTTCGTGTGTCTGTGCATTGTAGATTCTATGTGATACCATCATCTGCCTTAACCTGGCCTTAAGACGTCGCAAGCCCAGCATGTGTGTCAGAAATGACAGCTGTCATTTATTTTTGCTATATTGCTTTCTTTGGAAATGTTCTTAGAATTGCTTTTCCTGGTGGATTTTTTTCAGGTCCTTAGGAAATTTCGAGCACATGAGACCAATCTGCTCATCGCAACAAGTGTTGTAGAAGAGGGTGTTGACATACCAAAGTGCAACCTGGTGGTTCGTTTTGATCTGCCCACTGAGTATCGCTCCTACGTTCAGTCGAAAGGCAGAGCGCGGGCGCCCATCTCTAATTACATAATGTTAGCGGACACAGACAAGATCAAGAGCTTTGAGGAAGACCTTAAAACCTACAAAGCTATTGAAAAGGTAAGATGGATGTGCCATCTTCATTATTCTCTGTGGGCCTGAAAGTTGACAGAACGCTTTTCTTCAGGGAATGGTCTCAGAAGGGGTGCGCATATGTGCGCTGTACGGAAGTTGAGAACGGAAAGACCCAGCAGTGTTTTGCAAGTGCTTGGAGGGCGTCGTGACATCGTGCAAGGGTTGTCTGGATCCCTGGGGAAGGGTATTATAAATGCGGGCGGCATGGTGGCTGCTGAGGGACCGGGGAGGGATGACAAGGCAGCTGCACTCACGAGAGGCTGGCAGTCGTGGGTGTGGGTGGCTGTGCGCAGCCGCGGTGCAGAGAGGGCTCCCACTGCATGGCGCATCGCCACGTGCCGGGAGCGGCGGGGATTCACGGGGCGTCTTCTGCAGCAGGTGGTTTGGGAGGACCCAAGTCTGCTCAGGGAGTGAGATGGCTCTTGTCAGGAGAGCTTGTTCCATGGGTCCGGAGGCAGGCGGCTAACACGGCAGAGAAGACGTGTTTTCATCATAAGTTCTGTTTCCACAATGCTCAGATCTTGAGAAACAAGTGTTCCAAGTCAGTGGATCCCGGCGAGGCTGACATTGACCCTGTTGTGGATGATGACGACGTTTTCCCTCCGTATGTGCTGCGGCCTGAGGACGGAGGCCCACGAGTCACCATCAACACAGCCATTGGACACATCAACAGGTATGGCACGGGGTCATCTGTGTGGAAAACCTGTGCACGCTGCACGGCTGACGTCCAAAGTGTTGTTTACACTCACAGCTTGTAATGTTTTGATACGAGAAAGAAAAACTGCTTTTCTTGTTCATTCTTCTTTTCGATCAAAAGGCAAATACGGTGATGTGCGGTAATAAATGCTTAGTGCAAAAGGCTGATACACGTAGGCATTTTTAATTAGGTTTATTTAATTTTGTAATTCTCACCAGTTTTTTTCTGAATCCTAAAATTTGTTTTGTGCCGTAAATGTTAGGTAGTGTTGAATTCTTCCCTAGCAGTAAAGTAAGATTGTGATAAGCTAATTTATATTTTTGCATACATTCGAATTTACCTTGTTCTGAGCTGACAATAGCATTTCTAAGAGCTAAGAAAAGCAGATACATTTCTAGATTCTGTATCAGGATCATTTTCCCTCAGAGACAAAGTACAGGAGCAAGTGTCAGCTGTTCTTTTTAACCTTGTATTCTGAAACAGTTTCTTTTTGTTTTTTTGTTTTTTTTGAGTCGGAGTCTCACTCTGTCGCCCAGACTGGCGTGCAGTGGCCGCTCCTGGCCACCGCAGCCTCCACCTGCTGGGCTCCGGCGAACCTTCCACCTCAGCCTTCCCAGTAGCTGGAACTACAGGTGCGCGCTACCGTGCCCGGCTGATTTTTTGATTTATTGTAGAGATGAGGTCTGGCCAAGAAACAATTTCAAACCTACCGCGATCCTCCACAGGTCTTATCCTGACGCCCAGAGAGGCCCACCGAGGCTTCAGCAGAACGTTCTCTGCAGCCGAGGGGTCTGCTCCAGGGACACCGTATTTGCCGTGCCTGTTGCCACGTCTCCCTAGTCCCTGGCGGCTCGGAGCCACTCTTCCGTCTCTCATTCACTGAGCGACCTTGCGCTTTGGGAGATGACAGGCCGCCATTTTGTATGCCGCCGCTCAGTTTAAGCTGCCTGGCATTTCTCACAGTCGGACCAGGATGTGCGTTTCTGGCCGGCACCTCACTGAAGTGGCGCCATGTGCTTCTCATGCTGCCTTTCGGGTGGCGGGTGGCATTGACTTGCGTCTTTACTGGTGGTCACGTGGTCACTCGAGCAAGGTCTGCCAGGTTTTCTTTACTGTGAAGTTACCTTTCACCCCCTTTGTCACTGGCAAGTATTGGAGGCACTTGGAGACTGTGTAAAATGCATTCTTCTACCCGATTTGACTCATTAGTGTAAGTATTCATTGATAGTGCTCACCTGAATTGATTATTACTGTGATCATTTTCTAATTGTGTTATTCCGTATTTACTAGTTGACATTCTACCATAAGGACGAGCCTTTTCTTCTGTTCGTTTATTCTTTTGTTATTTCTTAGCTCAGTGCACACTTAGACCCCTGTTTCGTTGAATGGGCTATAATCTATTTCTGTCATTCACCATTCATTTTGGTGTTAAAAATCGCCTCGTATTTGGCCGTTGGGAACCCCTTAAAGCAAGCTTTTATGTGCTTGTATCATGCCGCCATTATTCTTTGACCGCGTCCCTGTTTCATGGCACAAGACATTCTAGACTCAACTTGAACATGCTCTTTGCCCAGCTTTGATGTTGGCTGTATCCCCAAGAGGGTTTGGTTCCTTTTGGTGGCGAATGAGATGCGGGTGAAAGCTGAGAACTGGTGCAAGGTGTGTTCGCTGCCCTGGGTGCTGCTGCTGCCAGACTTTTCTGATGGTGGAGCCAGAGGGTTGGTTTATGTTTTGCACACACACGCGCGCGCGCGCGCACACACGCACCCACAGATAGTCACATGCACATTTTTGTCTGTGTTTGTTTCTGTGTTTGACTACCTATCTGCCGATTTTGGCTGGACACTGTGGGGTTCATTCTAGGCTTTATCTTTTCTGTTGTGCACTTCCCTTCCCCAGTGGTGAGAAGTCTGGCTCCCACTGTCCTCAGAATCCTTCCTTATATATCCAGTCTCCCTGCCCTGCAGGGCTGCCTCATGGTTGCGTGCTCTGCTGCACGTTCCAGCACCCGCCTCGCGTGGGGCCCGTCTCTGAGGCCCTGGCCTCTGCTGTGCTGGCTTCCGGCCCTGCTCCGGTACGTCCCTATGCTACTGCTCTGGGAGCTTCTTGTACTGGGTGCCGCCTCATGTCGACCCTGGCGGTCCTGCCCTCTCCGACACCTTCCTTTCACCTTCCGGCAGTTGCTGGCAGATGTTCGGTGATTAAGGAGCAGACACAGGCAGTGTGTTCTCTTAATGGAGTCAGAATAGTACTTTGTGCTCTGTTCTTTCTGGTCACACTCAGCACCTGTGGCTATTGAAATTCCAACTTCATTTAACATAAAATTTAAAATGTAGTTTTACCAGTCACATTTCAAGTGCTCAGTGGCCTGTGCTGTGTTGGACATCACCGATACTGAAATCTTCTCAGAACATTCTGTTAGACAGCAGTGTTCCGTCTTATCGAAAGCTGGAAGCCGTGAAGTTCACACTCCATGTTGTAAGCGCCAATCCAGTAAAGGCGCAGAGGGCCACAAGAGATCAAACTTTAGGTTATGACCAGCACTTCAGATGTTTCCATCTGTTTTCTCAGTTGCAAATTCGGCTCACAGTTTCTTTTTCTTCTTCTTCACAGATACTGTGCTAGATTACCCAGTGATCCGTTTACTCATCTAGCTCCCAAATGCAGAACCCGAGAGCTGCCTGACGGTACCTTTTATTCAACTCTGTATCTGCCAATTAACTCACCGCTTCGAGCCTCCATTGTTGTAAGTTAGAAAAAAAAGCTTGTATCTTTTAAAATATGCCAATTAGTAGGGTTCTCCAAGCTTCTCTCAGACATACAAGTTGTAGTTAAATTTGCTTTTAAAATCTACTTTGGAAAATAGACTTTCAAATCTCTTTTGTAGCCATCTACATGTTGGAATTGTTAATAGAATGTTTAGCTTACAGACACTTAGAATGCTGCTAGATGATCTGACGTTTCCTCCAAGGAGCTATTATTCATATGCACATTTCTGACAGACGCATTCTGCTGTGGCTTTGATACTTGCAGTGACACAAAGTTATTAAGTGTAGTTGGGTTGTTCTAGTTATTTTGTTGGTGGCTCAAAAATCTGCCTTTTGTATCTACTGTTCTTGGTTCCAGTACCGATTTCCAGATATTCCAAGATGACAAATTCCTACTGCACCCAAAACGTTGCTCAGTACTAATTATTTATGTTATAGTCATATCCCGATAATGGCTTTATTTATTTTGTACATATTGTTAGATTAGTGAAAATAAGGTACTTTGAAATCTTACTAGTATTTAAATTCAAAACTATAGAACCTTAGTTATGACTTAGTTTTATTGGGCAGAATCTTAAAGGTGGATATTTCAAGTAGGGTTTTTTTAGAAGCTTGTTGGCAGTTTTTTTTGTTTTTGTTTTTTGAAAGTGAGAAATCAGGATTTATTGAGAAGACAGAAAAGCTCCCACAGTGGGAGAAGACCCAAAGAGGTTGCCCAGCAGTTTTTAAAACAAAGAATTTTGATTTGGGAAATCGAACTTTGAAGATATTGGGGCAGTGGTTTCATAGGTATTTCATGTGCCAGTGCTAACATAGCTGTGTGAATATGCAGTGCAGAGGTTGTTTGTTATTTTTAGGGTCCGCCCATGAGCTGTGTACGATTGGCTGAAAGAGTCGTAGCTCTCATTTGCTGTGAAAACCTGCACAAAATCGGTAAGGATGTTGGGAAAGCTATGCACACAAAAGTAGACTATGGGCATTGTTAAGAAGAAGCGTCTTGAGGATTTTATGGGTAGCTAAGGATGCTGTGGAACTGTGGACTTGACCTTGGTGTGCTTTGAGTATAAACGTATCCTGTAAGTTGGAAGTCCTGCAACGTGTGGGAGCTCTGTTGTCCACAGCTTAACTGTGAGCAGCTGTCATTTATTTGCTCTCTTAACTGACCCCTTCTAAATACCAGGGGTGCCCAAAAAGCGTATACATATTTTAAGCGATGCTGTCTATGGATTACTTTTAGTCTGCCATAATCAGAGGTGACTGGACACTGACGGGAGCCACTTTGAGCACCTTTGTAATTGTAGAAGCCAAACATGACCTGTGCTCATCTTTTGTTACTGGGATATATTAAGTATTGCCATCTTAATAATGCTTTTTTCCTTTCTTAAGAGGTGTATACATTTTTTGGCACTCTCTGTACGTAACACGTTCCTCCTAAGTGTGGTCATGTGCCCTGAACTTCTGTGTTTAACATTCCCATTAGTCTGTACTCGAGTAGAAATGAATCCCTTTTTTAAAATGGAAGACTCATTCTTTATGCCTTCTTCCTTAGAAGTGGTCTGTGCCGGTGTCCTGCTGAGGCCTTTCCGTTTCTGAACCTCAGATCAGAATTTTGTAGCCTTGCTCACACCGAGTCTATGAGTGCAGGTGGCCTTTGCCTCCCGTGTGACATCTGATGGCCCTGGCATTATTAAAGGCAAAGGCGCTTTTTGGTGCCATGCTGTTGCGGGTATTTGTTAAGGAGTAAGAGAGGCGGAGTCCGGAGTATGTTAATTCTCTTTCAATCTCTTAGGTGAGCTGGATGACCATTTGCTGCCAGTGGGGAAAGAGACGGTCAAATACGAAGAAGAGTTGGATTTGCATGACGAGGAAGAGACCAGCGTTCCGGGACGACCAGGTTCCACGAAGCGGAGGCAGTGCTACCCAAAAGCAGTTAGTATTGGTTGCCTTCTGACTGGTTGCATCCTGCTGCACCGAGTCTAAACTCCTCCCGGGCCCTGTCATGTGGCCCACTCTGGACCTCAGCCCGTTTCTCAGAGTCCCAGCTCCCCTCGGGTCAGCCCTTGCTTGCGTAGAGGTGGACTGTGTGCTCTCCCACTGCAGAAGTTGCTTTTGTTCCCTGTTCTCAAGAACTCCCCCCATCCGATTCTCTCAGAATGCGTTTGTTTCACGTAAGCAGACACTCTCTGTTTTGTTCGTGTCAGCGATGAGGCTCGTGCTTTACTTGGACTCAAAAACAATAGTCTGCCTCAAGAGAACCATAAGAACTCCAGGCACAAGCCCGACTTTGCCGTGCGTGGGAGCCTCTGGCCTTGCGACGTGTCCCGGAACCCCGTGGAAACCACCGATGGCACCTTGCCCTGTACAGCAGGACCCCCAGCATGGCTCTGCATCGGCTGACGATGGTTTTTTGAGTCAGAGCCACATTCTGTCGCCCAGGCTGGAGTGCAGTGGCATGCTCATGGCCACGTAGCCTCGACCTGCTGGCCTTAGGTGATCCTTCCACCTCAGCCCTCCAACGGCTGGAACCGCAGGTGTGCACCGCCACACTCAGCTAGTTTTTTATTTTATTGTAGAGACGAAGTCTTGCCATGTTGCCCAGGCTGGTTGTGAAACCCTGGGTTAAGGCAATCCCCTTGCCTCGGCCTCCCAAAGTGCTGGGATGACAGGCGTGAGCCGCTGCACCCAGCTTGTTATAATGTTGATGAGAAAAAGACACCAGCTTCCAGCCAGGTCCACTGTCTGTGTGGGGTTTGCACATTCTCTCACATCTCTGTGGGTTTTCTCCAGGTCCCCTGGGTCCTCCCACATCCCAGTGATGTGCATCTTGGGTGAATTGGTGCCTCTGTGTTGTCCCCCCAGTTGGGTGAGGGAGTGTGTGTGTGTGTGTGTGTGTGTGTGTGTGTGTGTGTGCGCGCGCGCGCGCTGTGCTGGGACGTCCTGTCCAGGGCTGGTGCCCACCTTGTTCCCTGAGCTGCAGGAGTAGGGGTGGGCTCTGGCCACCTGCCGCCACCAGTGGAATAGGCGGGAAAACAAGTATCTTGTTTTTATTAATGTTTAAATGTATGTGTAGCTCACATTTATTTCAGTGTTTAACATTAGAAGTGTTTGGATCTTTACAAAGGGGCTCCCAAAAAACTGAAATCATTTTTTGGCGGGTGGGCCCCCTGTCCTACAGGCTTTACCCACTAGGTGAGTGTTCTAGGAATCTGTTGGTGTCAGTGGACCAGCTAGTGTTGTTGTGAGATCGTGTTCCGCTTCAGTGAGTGTTTTTTTTGGAGAGCCTTTCCACATGTTTGCCCCTTTCGTGATGGGTGGTTGCCAAGTGCACCTGCCCACAGTGTGCTGAGTGCCCAGAAGTTTCTGACCCAAACCCGCATGGCCCCCTGCCCCGCCCTTCCTGTTCACGGGGTCTGACCCAGGCGACTTTTCTTTTTTTGCCTCTGGATGAAAAAAGTCCCCAAAGGGAAGCGCTTTCCCAATATGGACGAGGTGAAGCAAAAAAGGGCAGAGCACTAAAAGGCATCAAAATGGACAAGTTCAGAAATAGTTTTGAGCAATGGAAAAGGCTTCTCCATAGGTATATTGCATCCAACAGAGAGTACTTTGATGGTGACTGAAGTTGAAACATGTAAGAAGAAATACACAATTTTTAATAAATACATTCTGGGTTTTTCGGGGGGTTCCCCCTCCTGTTTAGAAGTTTGGTAATGTTTTTGTGACCAAAAATATATTGTAGCAACTTAACTCTTGTTTACGTCAATTAGCCTATGGTGAAGTTGGTTTCTACATCATTTTGCTTAAAATTGCAGTTTTCCAAGAACCTGTTGATGATGTGGAGTGAGGACTTCCTGTATTTATTTTTTCCTGTATGTATATGCATCCTTACAATAAGGTTTAATTCACAAGTTAGCCACAATAAGAGAGGAACAGTAGTAATGAAACAGAATAATTGTAGCAGTGCACTGTAGTAACAGCTCTGTGAGTGCAGCCTCACCCTTGCAGTGTCTTCCTGTGCATACTTACCTACTGCTGAACCGTGGTTGACTCAGGTAACGAACCCGGGGAGTGCACGGTGGAGAGGGGGTCTCCCACTTCCCACTCAGCCTGCACAGAAGAGTGGTGCTTCTGTTTTGCTCTGGCAGTTTTACTGAGCTTTTACTTTGAACAGCTTTTCACCCGGCTTAACATTTTCAAGAATGAAAATCATGTTGGCTTTTTAAACATCACGAACGTTGCCCATTTTCTCTAAACGCTTGTTTCCCATATACCTCGTGTTCCCGTTGGACTAGTTTCGTGTACTAAAGGCCACTCACTAAAGAGGATGTCGTGCCATGCATTCTGTCTAATTAATAGATACGAACTGCACCAGCTGATCTCCCACTCATCATGACTGTCTCTTAGCCGGCATTTCTGTTCCTTTTAACTACTGATGCAGCTACTTGTCATCGGACCTCAGAAACGGCAAGACCCTGATCTGAAGGGTTGTGTTAATACTGAAAGCTCAATATCAATCGTTCACTCACATAATGAGGTAGCCACTAAAAATGATGCTGTGGATTAACGTTGACCCTGAAAGATAGCTCATCATCGTACCGGGGGGTAAAACCAAGCCATCTCCCACACACCCCCACACACACCAACACCAGCCCCAGCACACACTAATGTTGTGTGATTCCATTTGTATTGAAAAGTGTGAGTGTGCTTAGGGTTATATATTTTTAAAAAATCTTCCTACCTTTATTTTCTGATACGCTGCAGTGAGTAAACACTGCAAAAGTCCAAAGAAGAGAGGCCTTTACTTGTCAATAGAAATAGATCAAATGAGTGATATTTTTTAAAAAGACATTACAGGGTTTGATTGTTTTATGTAATTTTGGTATTAGCTGTATAGTCAATAGTGCACCATAATGTATGTAAACTTGGCTGCTGTCAGCATTCAGGCCTGAGATAATGCCGGCCTCCTCGGCAGGGCCGAGTAATTAGGAGGTCTCATGCCCTGGGTATTCTCCTAGTTTTTTCTCATCAGCTTTTAGCGAAGCCAGGAATCGATCTGTTTTCTTGCTGACTTCTGGAAAAGAGCTGATGCTTAGCTTTCCTTCCCAACTCCAGATTCCGGAATGTTTGAGGGACAGCTATCCCAGACCTGATCAGCCCTGTTACCTGTATGTGATAGGAATGGTGTTAACGACTCCTCTACCTGACGAACTCAACTTCAGAAGGCGGAAGCTCTATCCCCCTGAAGACACGGCAAGATGCTTTGGGATACTGACCGCGAAACCTATCCCTCAGGTAGGTACTTGGCTGTGACTGCTCAGGTTGGGTGTCTCGCGTAGTAAGAATGGCCAAGTCAGGCCAAGTCGAGAAAAGGGAAGGGAGAAGCGCAAGCTGCTCGGTGGGAAGAGCCTTTCGGTGCCTCGGTGTGTGTGGTTCGTCGACTGAGGGGTCTCTTCTGGTTCCCCGCCGGAAAACACCGTGTGTCTTCTGAAGCTAGCAGCGAAGCAGTGAGGACCTGTTAACTGGGAGGTTGCTTTCTTTTTCTTTTGGCCAAGATCCCACACTTTCCTGTGTATACTCGCTCGGGGGAGGTCACCATCTCTATTGAGCTGAAGAAGTCTGGCTTCACATTGTCTCTACAAATGCTTGAGCTGATCACAAGGCTTCATCAGTATATCTTCTCACATATTCTTCGGCTTGAAAAGCCTGCACTCGAGTTCAAGCCGACAGACGCCGACTCGGCCTACTGTGTTCTACCTCTTAATGTTGGTAAGGAGGACCAGACCTTCAGGTACTCACTTCTGGTAGCCAAAAATGAGAGTTTTGCTTGGCAGTTAGCTTCCTGTGTATGCTACAAAGATCTCGGACTTTGATAATTAGTTAGAGGTGTACATGGATTACAGTTTAAGTAAGAGTCTTACCCTGCATTCTGTTTTTACAAGCTTAAAGAGTCTTTTCTTCTCCTAAGTTAATGACTCCAGCACTTTGGATATTGACTTTCAATTCATGGAAGATATTGAGAAATCTGAAGCGCGAATTGGCATTCCCAGTACAAAGTATTCAAAAGAAACACCCTTTGTTTTTAAGCTAGAAGATTACCAAGATGCGGTCATCATTCCAAGGTAGGTATTTAAATGGAAAGGAAAGTGGAGGTGATACTCTGTTTCAAGTGGACTGTGACTTTAGTGTGGCTGCCACTAACTGCAAGTGCAGGCCTCTCTTGAGATGGACCTGACCTCTCCATTGCACTTGCTTACAAAGCAAAGCCTAAAACATTGGAGGTAAGGGATTTAGCTTTTAAAAGCCAGATAATTTAAATAATGTCGATAGGCCTTCTTCTTAACTTCCATCCTAGCTGGGCACGGGGGCTCATGCGTGTGATCCCAGCACTTTGGGAGGCAGAGGCGAGAGGACTGCCTGAGCTCAGGGGTTCAAGACAAAGCCTGGACAATATGGCAAGACCTCATCTCTACAATAAAATCCAAAAGATTAGCCAGGTGTGGTGGTGCCTGCCTGTAGCTTCCAGCTACTTGGGAGGATCACCTGAACCCAGCAGGTCAGGGCTGCGGGGGCCATGAGCATGCCATTGCTCTCCAGCTTGGGTGACAGAGTGAGACTCGGACTCAAAAAAAAATTCCATCCCTTTAGAAGCGCTGTTTTTGTTAAGCACTGGCCAGGCCTTGTGTTCTTTGAGCTATGGCTGCCGTGCTAAGCTTTGGCCCCTCCCCTCCCTCTCTCTCCCCCTCTCTCCCCCTCTCCCAGTTCCTTTCTAAATGAACTATATTTTCCAGTCTTAAAAAAGAAACCCATCCTTTTAATCTCCAAAATCTTAAAGAATTTTATCATAAATAATAGTTTCATTTCTTAAGATTTCTATAAGGAGTATTGTCATTAACCTTGATGAAAACAGTGAATCAGAATTTCTTTTTCTTATTTTATAAAAATTTAGGGAATGGAGTTTTGGGGCAATAAGAAATGCAGGCATGTTTCAAAAAGTTACAGAATGTGCTTAAAAAACACAATTCAATCTTTCTTTTTTTTTTGGTACTTCAAAGCCATATTCGAAGTGTTAGTGATCATTAAAACTGTCACTATCATAGATGATACAGTGACATATTTTATATGACAAGTGTCTCATGTTTAGCATTAGTAATGTCCAAAGTATTTGCTTAGTTTGAATATTTTAAATTTTCTATACTGTATATATTGATGAGATACATATTTGAAGGTGCCATTTAGCTTCAAAGAATAGATACATACAACAAGGTTAATAATAAGGTAGGAAAGAATGGAGAGAGAGTTTTTGCTTGATAAAAATATAGTTCTTACTCTCTCGATACGCTTGAAATATATTCTTTGGAATTGAAGTCTTCATTAGTGTTATTTGTTACTTTTTTTGAGTCAGAGTCTCACTGTGTCACCCAGTGGCTCACCGCAGCCTCGATCTCCTGGGATCAGGCAATCCTTCCATCCTGGCCTCCCCAGTACCTGGGACTACAGGTGCATACCACCATGCCCCACTAAATTTTTGATTTTTTTGTAGAGATGAGGTCTTGCTGTGTTGCCCAGGCTAGTCTTGAACTCCTGGCCCCAAGCAGTCCACTTGCCTAGGCTTCCCAACGTACTGGGATTACAGGTGGGAGCCACCGCCCCTGGCCAGCCTTTTGAATTCTTAATCGTTGTTTGCGTTGCCATGATGAAAATGGTTGTCTTCTGAGAACAGTTGATTTGAGCCAAAAAACAATTGCTCGTTTTTCTTTATCAGATACCGCAATTTCGATCAGCCTCATCGATTTTACGTTGCTGATGTGTACACTGACCTTACCCCGCTCAGTAAATTTCCTTCCCCGGAGTATGAAACTTTTGCAGAATATTATAAAACAAAGTATAACCTTGACCTGACCAATCTCAACCAGCCACTGCTGGATGTGGACCATACCTCTTCCAGGTGAAGCGCTTTGGGAATGCTGTGTTGGCTGCCCTTGGGGCTTCCTTTCCGGGCGTCATTGTCGTCGGTGGGCACCCTCTGAGATTCATGCCCCCACCACCGTGGGCGGTCTGAATGGGAGGGGTCATCTTTGCCCACAGCCTTGCCTGTGGGTGGCTGGGATCCCGCAGCCCCAAGGAGCTCCCCGGTGGCTTGTGGGCACGCTGAAGCGGCAGAACCATGGTGGGAGGGTAGCTTCCTGGGTCTGCTGGATACAATTGTTTTGGGATTTCTGCAGACTTAACCTTCTGACACCGCGACATCTGAATCAGAAGGGGAAAGCGCTTCCCCTGAGCAGCGCCGAGAAGAGGAGGGCCAAGTGGGAGAGTCTGCAGAATAAACAGGTAGGGCCTGTCCCGGGAGGCCTCAGGGTGGCCTCTCTCACGCTAGCAGGGGAGCCGAGGGGTTGGTGGACGTTCTGGTCCTTGGACTTTGTTTTGTTGTCCTGTTGTGTGTGGGATTTTACTAGGCTTGGTCCGTTGATGCATTTATATCATGAAATCGTCCTCAGGAACCCTAGGGTAAACGCCGTGTGACCTTAGAGGGTCACTCTGACGCGTATTTTCAAAAGTTAGGTTTTGCTGGCATTCCTTGGTATCTTTATTCCTCAGTGAAGCTGGCCTTTCATGGTCTCTTGTGACGCGCGCGTGTGCGTGTGCGCGTGCGTGCTTGGTGTTTACCTGCCTCCTCTTCCTCGCTCAAAGATACTGGTTCCAGAACTCTGTGCCATCCATCCAATCCCAGCATCACTGTGGAGAAAAGCAGTTTGTCTCCCCAGCGTTCTTTATCGCCTGCACTGCCTTCTGACTGCAGAGGAGCTCAGAGCCCGGACGGCCAGCGACGCTGGTGTGGGAGCCAGATCGCTTCCTGCGGATTTTAGGTATGCCTCTGCCATTGGCCTGGGGAACGCAGGCCTTGAGGTCCTTCTTGCAAAGTGGCAGTGTGACGTTCAAAGCTGAACGTGACACAGAATAATTCTTAAAAGAGCAAAAGAACGATGGGTGTCTACTATATGAGATTAATACATTGCTTGACTCTGTGTCGGTCCGATCTCAGAGGAGGTGAGCTCCGGGGCAGATCAGTTCTCTGGCAACAGCAGGAGTGAGAAGGGAGACAGCTCTTGGTCGCTGTGCTGGCATCTTAAGGCTGCTTTCTCTTTTGAGAAACCAGATATACACGAAGAAGCAGTGGCCCAGCATGCTTTGTCTTCATTATTTTGTTCCCTTGCTAAGGTCTCTGCATTCTAGAGAAATTATTGCGTTGACTGCTCCAAGAAATTGGGGTCATGCAGTTGGCAATACCAAGGTGGCTTGAGGAGTGGAAGGAACTTGAACTTAAGGTAGTTGTGAACTGGCTGGCTCAGCTGGTC